GCTATTTGACAATATAGCAATGCCAATGCCATTCCAAGATATTTGTACTTTGTTTCTCCAAAAGAAAAGGCATGTCATTCCATGCATGGCCACATGGAAAAGCATCAGGTTTTGGGTGAAGAGATAAAAAAGAGTGTGGGGAAGCCACATGTCACTGTTTCATTGGGATATCTGTGGGAAAGAAAAGAGGGCAGGTTAAACACAGTAGGACTGATTAAATAATTCCCGTGGGCTTTGAGAGCATAGAGGCTATCCTTAGTGGGTCTGGGTTCATTTAGAATAGGGGAAATACTGTCTTGGTGTGTAAATCAGAGGAAAGATGTGGTTTGAAAATAGTGTTCTTGACTACAGAAGAGGTAAGGAACTTTGGCTATTAGCTTGACTTTAATTAATAGATGTCAAATAGACAAATACAGAATCTAAAAAGTAATATGACTGTAGATTCAAAACATCACATCTGTATTTATAGTACATCATCAATTTGGCCATGTTTCAGGTCTTTATTGGCATATAACAAGCCATCTCAAAACTTGGTGACTTAAAGCAACTGCCATTTGATGTGCTTATGATTCTATGTGTCAGAAATTCATTTACAGTTAAGTTGGATTTTTTATTTCTTTATAAACAGTTAGAATTCTTCAGATACCACATGACCTCTTTTTCCATGTGGCTATCTTGGGCTACTTCACAGCATGGTGGCCTCAGGGTAGTTAAGACTTCTTTCTTGTATAGTGGTTGGCTCCAAGTAGACACCCAAGAGAAGGCAGAATCTTCAAGTCTTTGAGGCCCTAGTTCATAAATTTTAAGTTGCTTCACCACATTCTACTTATCAAATAAAATTAGAGGGTAGAACAATTTTTTTTGCTACATGACGAAGAATTTTTAGTTATGTTCAATTCACCACACCATTATGCCTCATGAAAAACAGTCTGAACTAGCTAGCCAATTTGAGAGGCCTATTAAACATTTCAAATAAAAAATAAGTGATCACAGACTACTCTCAATATCTGTGAAAACACATTGTGCACAATGCCATACATTTCCTAAAATAATTGAAAGTGCTAGAAATAAACCAAGTATGTAAGCTCTTGTATAATGAATGTGACTAATTATATTAAAATAACTAGTCAAGGGAGAAGATAAAAGCAATTCTAGTGCAATATGTTGCAGGCAACAAAATCTATATTATAGCAATACAAAAATGTGTATGAAGAATATAAATTACTCAGTATAAGATAGTAATTCATAGAAATTATGATTTAATTATAGAAATCTAATTTTTTAGTTATATATCTTTGGGACTATGAGTTCATTTGGCACCATACTTCTGAATTGCCTGAGAAAGTGAACAGAATTGTAAGGCAGGGGTATTCCAATGAAATTCAGTGATTATGCAATCACTGAGAAGAGAGATAGCTTCTTAGTGATTATGAGTACACAATCACTAAGAAGAGGGGAGAAAAATAAGGATGGGGAGAAGGGGTGGGACGTGAGAGAGAGGAAGAGAGAGAGAATGCAGATTGCGATTTAACAATTCTGTTAAGTGTTTTGTTATTTTCATTTAATTATATTTATTTACTATATTTTCTTTAAGCCATAAGAATGCATTAATTTAGTACCTTAAAATAGCTAGCAAAAATGTTTTTAGGCACTTTGGTAAGATAGAGAAGGGACAAGCTGTCCTTCCTTGTTTCTTTTTTTAGGTCAGAGGTCTCTAAAGCTTTTCAAACTGGGAAACACCTAGATAAGAAGAGGGAAGGGAAGTGAGGTCTATGAACAGAGGCCTGGATCATAGTGGCATCTACCTTACTCTCTTATAAATGCTCATTGGTGTGTCTATTACAGTGCTAGATATGCTCAGTATGTCGCTCTGGTGACAAAGTAATCAATGGATATTTTTCATGTTTATTTCATGGAATTTTACAGACTGGCTGCTAGGTATATACTAGGGCAGGGTTTGGAGCATGCAAGATGGTGGCAGTAAGAAGAATCAGGTATCACTCTTTGCCTTGGGCATATGCTCATGCTACATGGTGGTGTCTAAGCACCCTTGAGGTGTTCCAAGCTAGTGCTGCCCTCATAAAGTTAGTGTACCTGAGGTGAGCCACAGGGAGTACCTGTCTTGGTTTCCAGCATCTTCACACATGTGTAAAGGTACATTCAAAGATCACTTGAGAAGTGGAAGGGGTATGAAGCACGCAACCTGCAGCCGTGAGCAGGGTGAATGCAGAAATAAGGGCTGATAGGCTTTGGTACCTGGAAGTTGGTTAATGTGATCATTAGTATTATGAGTACTCTGTCCACAGATGCTACTCGCCTCTTTCCAGCTACTTCCTCTGTGAGACAGTGGTACACTGCTAGCTTCTCACTTGTTCCAAGCTGAGAATCATCTCCCCACAAAGTCACTGTTCAGCTCTGGTCACTTCTGATCAGGACAGTTCTTATCTTCCAGGACTCCAGAGCTCCCTCAGAGGGAATACTCTGGGTTTTGCCTCATCAGTTTTTTTTTTTTTAATGAATCCATTTACCCTGGGGGGTGGTAAGAACAGAACTAGGGCAGCATTTGCCTAATTATGTCTGGGTCCTTAGCAGACTCGTCTGGACTCACAGGAGTCCAGGATATATAAATTGTTCTGTAGAAGGGCATCTGAATTAGAGTCAGAAAGGCTGGGGTGGTGATATGGTTACACCAACCAATGCTCTCATGGTTTTATGTAAGTATATGGGTCCTCAGGCTCCGAAGTGCCCATTCCTGTTTGTGAGTGGGTGTAAGAGAAAGATCATGTCAATCATCTGGCCCAGTGCCCGCTACAGGAATCTTGCTTGCAGGATCAGAACTTAGGCATCTCTTTCTGTATTAGGAAAGGTAAAGCTGGACACTGCCTCTCCCCACGCCAAGCCTGAACTCCATCCTGAACTGCAAATGAGCAAGATGGCTAGAAATTTCTGGTATGTCCTTTCCCTTTTCTTTGTTCCACCTACTGAGTATTTATGAAGTACATAGTAAACACTGTCAGATGTGGAAGATAAAAGTCTGAATGAGAAGGGGTCCCTGCCTGCCCTCAAGGAGCTTCTTGTTTAATGGGTTGCTCATAGCACAGGATAGCCTGAGGGCTCACATTCCTCCTACCTTCTCTTTTTTTCTCTAACTGCCTTTTCACCAGTGTGATTCTTCTTTCTCTCTTTACTTTTATTATGGCTCTGTTTTTCTACTGTCTCCCAGCCTCCCACTTTCATGAATGACCATTGAAAGGATGGAATAGAAATTGCTTTCAAAAATCTATTTTGCCATTTTTATTATATCAGTCATCGTTTCACAATGAAGACTGATTCCTGATTAGAGATAGAACATACTGAACAATTTGACGCGTAATTATGGACACTCTGTGCAGTCACCACTTTTAATTTTTACTTTAACACCTGCACCCTGAGATTATTCTGCCAGATATTTGTGGACCTTCTGCTTTGGGCCAGGCACTTTCAAGGGCATTAGGAAAGTAGAGTAGCTGGCATAGCAAAGCCTCCCTGTTTCATAGACTGACATTCGGAAGTGGAGGTAGATGATGAGCAAAGTGTTATATGATGTTGTAGCTGTCAATATGGGAAATGCTATGTAGATGAATGAAGTTGGATAAAGGTTTAGAGACTGCTGGCAGAGAACAGAGTGCCGTAATAGACACAGTGGTAGGAAAGTCCACTCTGAAGTCAGTGGGAAAATTAGCCAAGCAGTTAATTGGGGAGAGAGCCTTGCAAATCAGAAGAGATAGAAGGGACAAAGGCACTGAGACCAGAACTACTTGATATGTGTGTGTGAGAATCAGCAAGGAGACAGTGTGATTACAACAGAGCAAGGCATGTGACGAAGCATAGGAGAGGAAGTCTTTTAGGCCATGACCAAGATTTTGCTTTTTATTTTGAATGAGAGGGGAAACTGTTGGGGGACTGGTATTTGAGCAGGGGAGTGAAGGGACCTAATTTATAAGATTCCTGTAGCTACTTTGTGGAGAATATACTATGGGAAGAAACAAGGAAAGCTGAGAGGAATTACAGTAGTCTGTGTGAGAAGGCTGGGATCAGGGTAGTAGTGGTGAAAGTGAAAAGAAGTGATTGAATTTGGGTGTATGTTTTAAAAGCAGAGCCAACAGCATATGTTGGTTCTAAGATCCTGGATCCAACTTATTTGTTAACAGCTACTTGAATAATCACATTCAAGGCAGAAAAACAAAATTATTTTAAAACACAAACAACAGTTTATACACTGTTAAGCAAAGAATATTACCCAAAAACAATGGCACTAATATCAGGACATGTAAAGAGTCAAATTTAGTACACCTGCACATTGTTATTAGATGCTGATTTTGCAGAATTTTTGCATCTCAACTATTCAGATGTTTAAAAAGAGAAATCTAGGATATTGTTTCTCAAGTAAAGAGAAGTCCCTTTTTAACGTTGCTTTGTCATGAAAGACAGGACTCCATGGGGGTCTTCGTAACTCTGTAAGGACGTGGACTCCTGCAGAGGGGCCAGTAGTATCATTATTTTTCTGGCTGAGATTTAAATAAGGGAGGAAATGTGTCAACAAAACACTCGAAGGAAAACCAGTGGCCACAGACCCACAATGGAACACTGCATTGAGTCGGGTGGAGAGAAGGGTTTCAATTTGAGCAGGGTGAGCCACAACGCTGGTTTAGTCCTCCGCTAATACAAGTCCCACACCCTTTGTTCATTCGCCTGGGGAGCGAAGACTGACCCGCAGCTCCGCGACCCCGCGCGTCCCTTTCTCGGTCACGCCCTCGCGGGCCACGTCTTAGCAACACAGCCCGCCCCACCCTGGCCACGCCCCCACGCTGCCCAGGCCCCTTCCCTGACCACACCCTCCCCAACGGGCTGCGCCGGCGCGCTGGCCGCCTGGATGACCTTGTGGGCGGAGCTTGCGCAGTCTCCTGGACCTCGCCGTGCACCGCCCCCAGCCCTTGGTCACTGCGCGCCTTTGAGGACACGCACTTCCTGTAAGGCCTCTGTGTGCATCCGAACCGATCCGAACCGAACCCAGCCCTCGCAAGCAGTTCGCGATGGTGGACGAGCTGGTGCTGCTGCTGCGCGCACTCCTGGTTCGGCACCGCGCCCTGAGCATCGAGAATAGCCAGCTTATGGAACAGCTGAGACTGCTGGTGTGCGAGAGGGCGAGTCTGCTGCGCCAGGTACGTCCGCCGAGCTGCCCGGTGCCCTTTCCCGAAACGTTTAACGGCGAGAGTTCCCGGCTCCCCGAGTTTATTGTGCAGACAGCGTCTTACATGCTTGTGAATGAGAACCGATTCTGCAACGACGCAATGAAGGTGGCTTTCCTGATCAGCCTCCTCACTGGGGAAGCGGAGGAGTGGGTGGTGCCCTACATTGAGATGGATAGCCCCATCCTAGGTGATTACCGGGCCTTTCTCGATGAGATGAAACAGTGTTTTGGCTGGGATGACGACGACGAAGATGACGACGATGACGACTATGAAGAAGATGATTACTAGGCCCCAGAGCTCGTTGGGCCTAGAGGGGGAGGGCCCTGCACGCCACCTCCCTCCCACCCCACCACTCCTGGAGCCACTGTGCTCCTGCTTGCTGTCATCCACCTCCCTTCCCTTCTGTTCTCTCTTTCATCCCTCCCTCCCCCGTAGTGCTTGTTTTGTTACAGGATTAGTGCTCCTTACCTGCTACTGCTGGATCTGGGCCTGGGCCTTGCTCTGAAACTTGCCCTGTCTTGGTGTCTTGTCTTCAACTCTGGCCAGCCCCAGTACCACTCCCCTGCTAATCTGTACTGTGTCCTGACTCCAACTACTGGCCAGGTTCCTGTTAAAACTGGTCGAATCACCTATATTCCTGCTGCTGCCACCCCCTCGACTGCCAGTCTTACTGCCCAAAGACCTATGCTGCCACTTTACCATCACCCACCACATCCCACAGACAGACTATAGCCTTTGGAGATAAGGACCAAGTAGAAGATGGCTGAGTTGGCTACATCTCTTCGGACATTCATTTCGACAGCTCACCAACCCCTGAAGGGGCCAGTGTTACAGCCTGGTTAGTTCTCTGTCTAATCCCAGGGTTCCTTCTCTGCCCTACCAGATTGCTGCAGGAGCCTGATGTGCCTGATGGCTAAAATGTTGGCGTTTCTTTTTTCTTATGCACCGGTTTTGCACAGCAGTTGTTTTTCTTTCAAAGTTGCAGCAGTCTCACAGATGTGAGCATTTGGACAAATAATACTAAAAACAAAACAAGCAAATAACAGAAAACAGGCACTCAGCCCAGCTCCTCAATACTACCTGGAAAAAGCATTGGCATTCTTTTCAATAAATTACAAGCACTACAAAAATAGCAATAATTGTCTTTTAATGGTTAAGTGCTGTCATTGATCTCTGCCACTCTCATTCTGGCATCTGTTACTCCCATTGAGATCAGGGAACCCAATTCAATCCCAGTATTTCCCACTGTCATCTCTAGGCTACAGAGGACAATGACCACATGGCTTTATAGGGATTCTGGTGCTCCCTTCAACAAGGCATTTCTTAACGCTTTGGTGAGTAGGATGTCCTCTGTAGTCTCCAAGGTGGCATGGGTAAATGGTGGCTGAGCAGGTCACCCACCATCCCAAACCAGGTTATGTTTGAGAATGAAAAGGACGCTATTAATAACTAGACTGAGGCAACATACATACCCCTAGGCACATTAAAATTCCTACTTTCCAAAGATTTTTGAATTGTGTAACACTGCCAAGAAAGTGCTGCTCATAGTCCTTACTGCCTGTGGACTGTTCTTGTGTTCAGGCACCCCTTTACCAATATAGCAGATTGTCAGATGTTTAAGTTAGCATTACATCCTGTGTCCTGGGTAAGTGCACCCACAGTCATTATAGCCTGAGTTTAACATTTCATCCTCATTAAGCCAACGTCTTTAGAATCCCCACCTATAAATGTGCCTCAGATTCTTGCCTATAGTAATTGACAAGATGCTTAGTTATTTCCAAAACCAGACCTTGTCTTACTATCTGGGCTGTGCTGAGATGAGATATTTGTGGGCATAGAGGGTTCAAAGACAATGAAGAGATGGGTAGAGGTGAGTATTGAGAGTCTGGGTACCTTTATGGGTCCATTGCATCAGGTTAAGTCACTGAAATGTTTAAAGCAGAGAAGATAAATTGAAGGATTTGGTGGGTTATGTTTGGCAGCCAGAAAATTTCAGAGGTTAAAGGTTTTGGTATCTACTTAGATATATTCATTTTACCATGCCTATAGTCAGTGCAACCTTAGGACATCTAATTAATTTAAATAATACATTTCCTTGCTGTTCAAGGTCTTTTGAGGTTGGATGTTCTTTTATTTATACAGGCAAACCTAATAATGTGGATTAAATGAGATACTGATCATCATATTACCAACCTTACAGGTGTGGATTAAATAATATTTTATCCCCAAGTTGTTTATAACTGTCCCTGCTACATTTTGAGCACTCAATCAACATGGGTTGTCACTCCTAGGCCCAGGAAGAAAAGTCTCAGGGAGCAGATCTCTGCTATGAGCTTGGGTTTAGTAGGATGCCAACGTTGAACAGGAGCAAAGCAGGGAGAGTGGAAATGAGAACATGACAAGATCCCATTTACTCCTTGTAGTCTGACATGAAGCCAGAGAGAAAACCATTTTACCTAGTGAATAGGAAAAGTCCAAGGCAGGAGTCATTTTTCGGATGTAGGGCAGTTGTTTCTGGATGATGGGGATCAATGGGAGTGGGTATTACTTAATAAAGATGCTGAGGTCTACGTGAAAATGAGATCTGGAGTTTTTCAGGGAGCCACTTCTCCAAAACTGAATAATGATGATTACTTGAGATTTGGAATTCATTAATCAATTCTCCCATTTCCTTGGAAAACATACAGAGACCCTTGGAAGAGTAACAGATTAAATTTCAGAAATATAATCACATTTTATTTCTCACTGGGAAGTCCTTGAACTGGGGATGGATATGGACAAGTGGTAAACAAGAGCTAAAAGCTAGGTAACGACCCATTGAGTGGAAAAATCCACTGTTCCAAATTTAGCATAACACATTTATGCTGAAAGGAGTTATTGATGAGTGAAATGTAGTCCTTATCCTCATAGTAGTTACACTCTGCTGTTTCTGTGGTGCTTTTGGCCCAGACTGTGATTATAACTAGTTACAGGTGAGGGTGAGGAAGAGAATCCAGTCTTGATTATTTCTGGGAGTGACTCTTCTGGAATGAAAGAGATCTATTCCTGTCTCCCTGCTAAAGGAGCACATACTCTGTGAAGAAGTGGTCCAGGATTAGTGAGTATGCCATACCAAGGCAGCATCTGTGTAGCATCCAGGAGAGTTAAGCCAAGGATCTTCATGATTTGTACATCTCTTGAGCATGTGTGCATGTTCATATGAGGTTGCCACATCGCAGTGTGTGTATGTGTGTATGTGCATGTGCATGTACACATGCATGCATAAATTGTCCTTCATTCACCATGAAATAATAGTTATGTTGTGAGCTACAGGAAGGAGAGTGTAACACTCTTGACCTTTGGGACAGATTCCACAATAAAAGCAAATACTGGCAAGGGCTCTGCCACGTAGGGAGGAATTCATGAAAATGGCGACAGTGTTATAAAAAGAAGGGAAGAAGCAAATAAGCATGTCTAATAAAAGCATCACTTAGATGAAAATTAGTAAAGAAATGTGGAAATGCTGAAATAATAAATACGAACTGTAGACTCCTGGATTCTAATCTTGACATACTAGTATTGAAATGGTCACTGAAATTATACTATCAATGAAATTAAATTAACCATAGTAAAGGTTGTAATCATTGAATGATGATAAATCTACCAATATGAATAGGCAAGCACTACTTTACATTAATTAACTCTGTGTTTTTCAGATTGTTACATAAAGTTAGAGGCACATTATGCACATTTTATGTTTGCTTATTTTCTGCTATTAAACCATAGTAGTTTGTAAGTTTGCAGGGTAGAGGGAGAAGTCTTGAAATTAATGGTATATTTGCATTTTAAAATGAACTTTTAAAACATTTTCTAAGTTCTTAAAGTATTTAAAACAAAGCTCATAAAGCAGTGTCAATTCAAAATCCTCAGTATGTTTTCCTTAATGGTAAAGTTTAATTATGTATGAAGAATATGTATTATTTCCTTTGAAATAAGGTTTTGCTAAATTGGTGTTAAAAGTGTCTGGTGGAGCCTTTGTTACTGAGTAGGTCTTAGTCCACTTAGTTCTAAATATAGTTTACCTGTTTCGTATCTTTTGACAGTGCTGGTAACACCCTACCACCCTTAGAAGAAATCCAGTAGTTCACCTTGCATTTTTTTGTCTCCTGCCTGGATTGCCAGTTAGGATTTGTTCATTTGTCTTTACATGTTCTATTTTCTAGAGACAACTTTTTTTTTTTTGCTCTGAGATGGTTAAAGGTGTATTTGAAGGAATTATGAATACCATAGCAAGATTTGTTAATGGAGCATATGTGCTCTCCTGGATGTTTCAGAGTAGCCCGATATAGCATCATCTGTGTACCCTCTTTGTTCCCTCAGAAGCTGGTATCTGAGTTATCATCAATAAAAAATTAATTTTTCTTATGATATTATCCACTTAGCATACTACTTCTCCCCTCACTAAATGACCAGCGATTTCATCAACAAATTACAATAATTTAATTCTTATATTTTAGCCAATGTCCTTATGGAATTGACCAGTCAGTGTAGAATCATCCATGTTTGCTCGAGATACAAAATTATTACAAAGGCTGCTAATAATGCCTCATTTTAAAGCTTTGGTTTTAAATAATATTAGCAAAAGAAACCATTGTGCAGTATATTTCATTGGTAACTGAACAAATTGTTATGTATTTGATTTACCTGTTCTCTAGTCACTGATTACTGTACTTGCCACATAGGACTTTTAGAAACTACTCATTTGAATGTATACAATAAAACTTTTAAAATGTACATAATAGTAGAGAGAATAGTGTAATGAACCTCCATAGACTCATTTCCTGGATTCAAAAATTATCACTGGTTTTACTTCCTGTATCCTTTTTTTTCCTTAGGATTTTTGTGCAGTGTTTTAAAGCAAATCCCCCAAATCACATCAATTCATCCTTCAATAATTCAGTATGCTTCTCTTAACACAGAAGACCTTAGAAACATAATCTACAATATGATCCTCACACCTACTAAAATTAATGACTCTTAATGTTTAATTCTCAATCTAGACTTGAATATCTTTCAGTGTTTTTTAACTGTTTGATTGAACTACATTCCTAAAGCTGTGAGCATATTGAATTTGGTGTATATATATCTCTTAACCTTCTTTTAATTGGTAATGGTTCTTCCCAACCTTTTGTTTTCATGCAATTTATTCATCCAGGAAACCAGGTATTTGTACTATGGAGTTTTCTGTATTCTAGATTTGCTTGGAATTTTTCATACTCTTGCCCAGTTTTCTCTTGGGTCATTAATAGTTTTTTTCCATCATTTTAAAGAAGCTCTTTATTAGTGATCTGTGATGTATTGTGCAAATATCTATGTCCAGTTTTCATTTGTTTTTTAAATTTCTTTATGATGCAAACTGTTGTGAAAACAGTACATTTCCATTCTTTCCAGTCTCCCATCCTATCTCTGAATTACTTATATTATTTCTTTCAGTGTTTATATCCCTAGTGTATATTTCTATTATTTTTCAGTCATGGATGATAGATTTTAGGCATTAGCCATGAAAGATAAAGAACTCAACATACACACTAATGCTCATTCCCTATCACCTTTGTACGTGTTGTCATTTCTTCTTTTATTTTGAAGTTTTTGCAAGGATTTATTTTAGTATAAGAGGATAAAGTATAGACAGGGGAGAGAAAAAGAGAGAGAAACAGTTCCTGTTCCCCATTCAAGAAATGGAAGCAAAGATTCTGGGATGTCACTTCTGTTAGCATTTTTAACATTTACATTTTTCCTGTGACCACAATCTTTACATTGTTTTAATCATAATATATCAGGTAAATGGGTTAAATAATTACTATCATTTCCAAATTTTCAAGCTATACTGATAGGTTTTATTTTGTTCATTTCAGTTATTTCTTAGGGAAAAAAAAGCCTCTTAGTAATTATATGCTCCATATTTTGGAAGGTGAATGGCAGTGACATTAGGCATAAAGTTTGTTGGTCTAACTTTCTTTACTTTCCTTGCTCCATTATCTTTTAGCACTGAATGTTATTTTTGTAGAAGCCTAAGACCATCCTAATATTTCCACACATAAGTTATTTTTTTTACTTCCAAAGAATTTTTC